GCTTTTTTTTGCTGCTTGGGGCAGCAAAAAAGTTAGAGCCGGCCCTGCCACCAACATTTCTAGTTCAGTATTTTGCTTCTGATGGTTCAAAAGGACAAAAACCCTCCACATAAAACAGCTGATCAATTGAACAATACTGAGACACTGGGTCTGGAGAAAGCAGTTTTATTTCCTGCCTCATCCCATCCCCTCTACATCATAGGATCAATTACCTTTATTACTGAATATTGTAGAGTTAGATTCCTTTCACTTTCCAAGTTAAATTCAGGCTATTCATGCCCACCACCATGGCCCTTCACAATACCCCAGCCTGCATCTCTTCCCTCCTTCACTTTTAACCTCCCTTTCTTCTGCCTATGTTCCTCCCAAAACTGCCTCTTTTTTTATCCTTTTCCAATGTTGTACTCATTTAGATTAAATAAATGGGCTAAAGGTGTTAACATAACCCAGTCACTGTCCAACATTAAACAGTATTAAACCAGGTGTGGGGTTTGGTATACAGAGACATCACCTGCTTAGTACCATGGCAAACATACCATTACATTTTTAAAAAACTTTTAAATTAAAGATAAAGCAAAGAAAGGAAAACAGTTAAAGGATTTGAAAGGTAAAGTATTAAACAAGGTTTTTATTTTAAACAACTTTTGTTGTTGTTTGGGGAATTAGCTGGAGAGAGTTTTTAGAAGGAAAAAAAACCCCTTTGTTTGGCAGTTTTTTAAATGGTAATAACTGTCCTTTTAGGGACAAGAGAAGAAATTGGTTGAGAGAGGCTTGAGCTGTTGGTGTTGCTGTTGTTGTTAACATTTGATTTTGTTTTATTTTAGGTGGTGTTTGGGATATAGTTGGAACCAGTAGAGGTGGCAATGTCATTTGGGGCACTTTTTTGGCCTGGTTTGGTCAGGACATTTTTTAGGATATGGAGGATGAAAGACCGGGGTCCCTGTAGATCATCGGAGTGGCAGCCATGATGGTGAAGCTTCATTCAGTAGCCAATTTTTCTTCCAAAGTGTTTTAATTTAAGGACAACATAAGGAGTGTGTGACGTTCTGTACCTCGTGGGAACACCCTACACCCCCATGTTCATCCTTATAATATGATTGTGTGGCATCTAATGCAAAGTTTGTCATGTTGGGTGTCTTCGGAAGGCTCATGATGCACTAAGCATTGTTGTTAGTGATGTTATAGTAATTATTGTTAATGTTATAGGTTGTAATTTCATGTATATAGTTATGAGGCTGAAAACGTGTCCTCATAGCTTAAAATAAGCCCAGACAAAAACTCTCCAAAAGCAGAGGGGCAGTTCACACCTCATCAGGGCATGTATGAGACAAACCCAGCCTCACAGGAACAAAGGACACAGGCCTAGGCAACAACAAAGGATCTGTTGGACTCTCGAGTGAGTCACCCCCCTTCCTTTGGTCAGTTTGGGACTGTGATGAGGTAATGCTCACCTGACTCTGAAGTGGGGGGGGGGGCAAAGCCAAGAGGGAAGAAAGAACATGATAAAAGGGAGAGACGTTTGCCATGCTCTTCCTCTCTCTTCCACCTATATCTACAGACACCACACCAAGCGACTGAAGCGCTGATCAAAGGAGAGAGCCTGGCTGAAGAGCAACCAGCCAGCCTGTGGTGACAAGCATCTACGTTTGTAAGGGCATTGAAAGTGTTAAAATCAGCTTAGAATGCATTTTGCTTTTATTTCATTTGACCAAATCTGATTTGTTGTGCTTTGATTTATAATCACTTAACATTTATCTTTGTAGTTAATAAATCTGTTTGTTTATTCTACCTGAAGCAGTGTATTTGGTCTGAAGCCTGTCAGAGACTCCCCTTGGGATAACAAGCCTGGTATATATCACTTTGTTAAACTGACATATAAGCTTGCAGCATCCAGCGGGCATAACTGGACACTGCAAGACGGAGGTTCCTAGGGTTGTGTCTGGGACCAGAGATATTGGCTAGTGTCCAGGAGTGGGGGTTGTCACAGCAAAGCAGGGTAAGGTTGGCTCCCAGAGTCAAGGATTGGAGTGACCTAGCAAATCATCGCCCTGGATAACACCAGGGAAACGTCACGAGTGGTAGGCAGAATAGCCTATCTCATCATTATTTTGTCCACCAATTAGGCCTAGATTTTGATACATTAATTTTGGTTTATTGGTTTTACATATTTTTTTTAAAACACCATCCTTGAGTTACATCAGTAACCTTTCTGTTTAGAATAATTCCGTTTTTCTGTCTCCCTTTCATACCTTTTCCCATTAACATTTGTTCTTGATAGGTTACTGTGACATTTTAGGAACTTTCACATACTTTTTACAATTGAGTTCTTAATGATGTACCTTTGTAGGGCCAATTATTACACCACCACATTGGTCGTTTTGCCTTCCCCATGCTGCTGCCCTTACCTCTGGACCTCCCTCCCATAGCTAGTGTACCAAAAAAACCAAAATCAGATCATTCCAATCCCTCTTTAATACTTATTATTATTGATTATATGTATTACAGTGACACCCGGAAGCCACAGTTAGGACCCTATTGTGCCAGGCACTGTACAAACATACAGCAAAAGACAGTTTCTGCCCCAAAACCCTCTCTACAGTAAGCCTTCCAAAATATAGAGAAGTGGTATTTTTCATGCTATTGCCTGTTTTTAAAGCATGCATTGGCCCCCTAAGTTATTGGATCCATGTGTGTTTGGTGTTAGAACTGTATTATCTAGGTCTGAATTGTCTGTAAACTCCTCAGGGCAAGGGCTGCTTCCTTCACATTTGTACTGGGCCAAATGCAGACTGTGCTTGGTATAACCTCTGTGAAAAAAATTATTAAAATCTACAAAGCTGTGTTCCTAACAATGCACAGCATCACATGTACAAACAAAATGGGAAAACACCACTGAAATTATTCAATGTGTCAGGATAGAAAAACGAGAGGAAGGGATCTTGAGAGGTACTTTCCCCTAAAGAGCAAGAAAAATCTCAAGTGTAAAGGAGATCTGGGGAGTAACCAGGCAGAAACAGAGAATCCAATATATTCGTTCACTGAAACAACCAGCTTTGGGACCTCTATGCACCCCATTTCCCCCCCCCCCCCCGTTACTATTCCTTGCTCCATGGGCCAACATTCCATACTAACTCTTCCTGCAAGGGCTATGATGCAAACAAAAACTGATCACGCATATGCTCTGCCCAGCAAAGATCATTGTTGGAAAGACACCTCCCCTAATCCCTTAGAATATGCTGCTCTACTGTGAAGCTGGTTGGAAAGGAGCAGGTGAATGGCCCTAAAGCTTCAATGAGAATTTCTACAAATTCAGAGACGTGGGCTGCAAAGGTATCATGTAGATTAGTGTTTTGGATATTGTGCTATTAAACCATGCAATGTGTTCCTTCTACCCAGCCCCCTTTGGTTTTGTACCACTTCATCCCAAAGCTGCAGTCCCACCTATTCTATACCTCTGACAGTGCTGTGGCAGAACAGCAGTGCATTCTGGGAAGAGACATAACCCCTCAAAAGCTCTCTGTTTGTAACAAGATTTTAAAAAGGAGACAAAAAAGAAGAGGAGCACAATCCACACTGACATGCTGGTTCTGGCTCCAGCTGGATGAGAAAAATTCACATGCTCTAGAGTCTCTATGAACTGGCACAGGTATAGTGTTTCTCCGGGAGTGCAGTATTCATGACACAGAGCTTTGAAAGTCAAGATGGGGCAGATAGAACCAGGGAACACTGAGGCAGAGGGATCCCAGAAAAGTAAAGATCAGCACTGCCTTCCCCCATTAGCTGTATTAGTTAACATAAAGGGGGTGCTCTTACCAAAGAGGGTTCCTATGAAATGAACACACACCCTTTCATCCTGTGCCAGCAGCTGAATGACTGGCACGGCATGCCAGGCCAGGACATCACGGAAGCAAGACAGCACATGCTTCTTGCGCACCAGCTGAAGGTTAAAGATGGAATGAAAAGTATCATTGGTGATCTCCTTCATGACATGCAAAGGGGGGTGAAGAAGACACTAGGCCAAGGGGACAACAGCCCAGCGTGCCTAGGTGCCCGAGCGATCCGTGCTGGAACCCAGAAATGCAGCAGGGCAGGGCACTAGCCCTATTCCCACACCAGAGACCAGGACTCAAGTCACAGAGACCATCGCATATTAAAGTGATCTGGGAGGAATGGGCCGGCACGGGGCGGGGCCGGACCGGGCCACCAAGGCCCGGGGCGATACTGGCAGGGGGCGATACTGGACCGGGTTGGGGCAGGGATCCGAGCTGGGCCAGGCAGGGGGCGGGGCTGGACCGGCTGCGGGCGGGGCAGGGAGCCGAGCCGGGCCAGGCAGGGGGCGGGGCAGGGAGCCGAGCCGGGCCAGACAGGGGGCGGGGCTGGACCGGCTGGGGGCGGGGCAGGGAGCCGAGCCGGGCCAGATAGGGGCGGGGCTGGACCGGCTGGGGGCGGGGCAGGGGGCGGGGCTGGGCCAGGCAGGCGGCGGGGCTGGACCGGCTGGGGGATCCGTGTGGGGACGCGCAGGGGGCGGATGTGGAACCTCAGACCCCGCTCCCTCCCCAGCGGGCGGTCCCGACAGGCGGGGGCGGGGCGCGCTGGCGCGGGGAGGGCCCGGCCGGGCTCCGTACCGAGGCGCTGCCGTCCCCCAGCGTCTCGATGACGCAGGCCAGGCAGAGCGGCGGGGGCAGCAACAGGAGCCAGCGCGGGTCGTGACGCGCGTGGAGCCGCTCGCAGACCAGCAGCCCCGCCTCTGCGGCCGCTTCCATCGCGCGCCGCCCAGGCCTCGCCGCGAGTAGGCGTCACGTGGTTGGGGGGGGAAGAAAAGCACAGAATTGGCGGGGAAAGTCCTGCGCATGCGTAACTGGAGGGGCGGGGTTTATTTTTGGCGCATGGGGAGAAGCCGAGTGCGGACCGAGCACGTGCATCCCGGAGGTGAGGGCGGGGCCCAGGGGAGGGAGGCAGTTGATTCCTTTCTGGCGCTCTCTGTCCTTAAAGGGCCACACACATCACCCTCCGCACCTTTCTTCCCATCCCCAGCCTGAGCCCGCCCCCTAGGGGAGCCACTGCCGGCCGGACTGGGGCACTCGGGGCAGCAGGACATCACCCCATGCAATGCGCCTGGGGCCTGCCTGGCGTCATGGGCAGCTGGGGGGGCCAAGAGGGGAGAAGGGATCTGCTGGGGAACCTAGAAGGGGAGAAGCAGAGAGTTCCTGGAGCAGCGCCGCATGGGGGGGGGGGGGGCAGCCTTAGAGCAGAACCCCCGCCCTCGTGGGGGAGTGAGACAGAGGTGAGTGCGGGAAAGCTGATATGGGTCCAGGGGGGTAACAAGGGGGAAATGAGAACCTTGGGCAGGGATCCAGGTGGAAGGATCAGAAACAGTGAGGGAGAGATGCGGTGGAGGGGGGACAGAGAAGATCAGAGAGCAGGGAAATGGGTGGGGAAAGACACAGGGGATTCCAAATAACCAATGGGGAAGGGGAAATAATGTGCAGAAAGAAAAGAGAAAACTGAGGGATGACAAAATAAGCGAGTCCGAAGGAGAAAACTCAGAACCTTACATTTCATTGGTTGCAACCTATGTTTTGGGGTGACATAAAAGCCAAGCCAGCCTTTTCCTTCTTGTACTTAGAATGTGGAGGAGTAATCAGTCCTTGACCGAGGATACCACTGCACTTAAAACAAGCCCTATAGTTGATGGTTATTTGGTGATCTATGTGAAATCATTTTTGGCTCACTCCCGTTCCTACTGAGGTCTGCAACACAAAAGCCACAATTACAACTGGTACTAATGTTCTTCCTAATACCAGCCCCTTGTTGGCAGCCTCAGAGAAGTCAAAGACTGAATTAGCTATGGGGACTCAGGGTATGTCTACACTACGAAATTAGGTCGAATTTATAGAAGACGGTTTTATAGAAATCATTTTTATACAGTCGATTGTGTGTGTCCCCACATAAAATGCTCTAAGTGCATTAAGTCAGCGGACCGCGTCCACAGTACCGAGGCTAGCGTCAACTTCAGGAGCGTTGCACTGTGGGTAGCTATCCCACAGTTCCCGCAGTCTCCACTGCCCATTGGAATTCTGGGTTGAGATCCCAATGCCTGATGAGGCAAAAACAGTGTCGTGGGGGATTCTGCGTACATGTCATCAGCCCCCCCCCCGGCCCCGTGAGAGCAACGGCAGACAATCGTTTCGCACCTTTTTTCCTGGGTTACCTGTGCAGATGACATACCATGGCAAGCATGGAGCCCGCTCAGCTCAGCTCACCGTCACCATATGTCATCTAGGTGCCTGCACACGTGGTACTGCATTGCTACACAGCAGCAGCTAATTGCCTTTTGGCAGTAGATGGTGCAGTATGACTGGTAGCCGTCATCGGCTATCTGGGTGCTGGCAGACGTGGGACTGCATTGCTATACAGCAGCAGCTCCTTGCCTTTTGGCAGTAGATGGTGTATTACGATTGGTATCCGTCGTCATCGTACTCCTCAGTGAGTTCGGTCAGAGGCGCCTGGGCAGACATGTTTTGTCTCCTGGAGACTCAGTCCTGCCGGCAGTCCTATTGCACCGTCTTGACGATGATGGCTAGCAATCGTAATGCAGCATCTTCTGCCAAGCACCCAGAAGATGCCGATGGCTATCAGTCATGCTGCACCGTCTGCTGCCAGCCTAAGATGTAAAAGATAGATGGACCAGATTTGTTCTGTATTCATTTGCTTCCCCCTCCCTCCGTGAAATCAACGGCCTGCTAAACCCAGGGTTTTGAGTTCAATCTTTGGGGCGGACCATTCTGTGTGACAGTTGTTTGTGTTTCTACCTGATGCACAGCCACCTTTGTTGATTTTAATTCCCTGTAAGCCATGTCGTCACTCGCCCCTCCCTCCCTCCGTCAGACAATAGTTTCACGATTTTTTTCAGCCCAGACGCCATAGCACTGGGATCATGGAGCCTACTCAGATCACCGTGGCAATTATGAGCACTATGAACACCACGCGCATTGTCCTGGAGTATATGCAGAGCCAGAACATGCTAAAGCAAAACCAGGTGAGGAGGCAATTGCAGTGCGGCGACGAGATTGATGAAGAAATTGACATGGATATAGACCTCTCACAAAGTACGGGCCCCAGCAATGTGCAAATCATGGTGTTACTGGGGGAGGTTCATGGCGTGGAACGCCAATTCTGGGCCCGGGAAACAAGCACAGACTGGTGAGACCGCATCGTGTTGCAGGTGTGGGACGATTCCCAGTGGCTGCGAAACTTTCGCATGCGTAAGGGCACTTTCATGGAACTTTGTGACTTGCTTTCCCCTGCCCTGAAGCGCCAGAATACCAGGATGAGAGCAGCCCTCACAGTTGAGAAGCGAGTGGCGATAGCCCTGTGGAAGCTTGCAATGCCAGACAGCTACCGGTCAGTCGGGAATCAATTTGGAGTGGGCAAATCTACTGTGGGGGCTGCTGTGATCCAAGTAGCCAACGCAATCAAAGAGCTGCTGGTATCAAGGGTAGTGACTCTGGGAAACGTGCAGGTCATAGTGGATGGCTTTGCTGCAATGGGATTCCCTAACTGTGGTGGGGCGATAGACGGAACCCATATCCCTGTCTTGTCACCGGAGCACCAAGCCAGCGAGTACATAAACCAAAAAGGGTTCTTTTCAATGCTGCTGCAAGCCCTGGTGGATCACAAGGGACGTTTCACTAACATCAATGTGGGATGGCCGGGAAAGGTACATGATGCTTGCGTCTTCAGGAACTCTGGTCTGTTTCAAAAGCTGGAGGAAGGGACTTCCTTCCCGGACCAGAAAATAACCGTTGGGGATGTTGAAATGCCTATAGTTATCCTTGGGGACTCAGCCTACCCCTTAATGCCATGGCTCATGAAGCCATACACAGGCAGCCTGGACAGTAGTCAGGACCTGTTCAACTATAGGCTGAGCAAGTGCTGAATGGTGGTAGAATGTGCATTTGGACGTTTAAAAGCGCGCTGGTGCAGTTTACTGACTCGGATAGACCTCAGCGAAACCAATATCCCCATTGTTATTGCTGCTTGCTGTGCGCTCCACAATATCTGTGAGAGTAAGGGGGAGACATTTATGGAGGGGTGGGAGGTTGAGGCAAATCGCCTGGCCGCTGATTACGTGCAGCCAGACACCAGGGCAGTTAGAAGAGTACAGCAGGTCGCGGTGCGCATCAGAGAAGCTTTGAATACCAGTTTTGTGACTGGCCAGGCTACGGTGTGAAACTTCTGTTTGTTTCTCCTTGATGAATCCCCCCCCCCCCGGTTCACTCTACTTCCCTGTAAGCTAACCACCCTCCCCTCCCTCCTTCGAGCACCACTTGCAGAGGCAATAAAGTCATTGTTACATCACATTCATGGATTCTTTATTAATTCATCACACAAATAGGATAACTGCCAAGGTAGCCCGGGTGGGGTGGGGGAGGAGGGAAGGACAAGGACACACTGCACTTTAAAACTTTAACACTTATTGAAGGCCAGCCTTCTGATGCTTGGGCAATCCTCTGGGGTGGAGTGGCTGGGTGGCCGGAGGCCCCCCCACCGCGTTCTTGGGCATCTGGGTGAGGAGGCTGCGGAACTTGGGGAGGAGGGCTGTTGGTTACACAGGGGCTGTAGCGGCGGTCTCTGCTCCTGCTGCCTTTCCTGCAGCTCAACCATATGCTGGAGCATATCAGTTTGATGCTCCAGCAGCCAGAGCATCGACTCTTGCCTTCTGTCAGCAAGCTGACGCCACCTATCCGATTCAGCCCGCGATTCAGCCCGCCACCTCTCCTCTCGTTCATATTGTGCTTTTCTGCACTCTGACATTGTCTGCCTCCACGCATTCTGCTGTGCTCTGTCAGCGTGGGAGGACATCTGGAGCTCTGAGAACATATCATTCCGAGTCCGCCGTTTTCTCCTTCTAATCTTCACTAGCCTCTGCGAAGGAGAAACATTTGCAGCTGGTGGAGGAAAAGGGAGAGGTGGTTAAAAAGACATATTTTAGAGAACAATGGGTACACACTTTCACATTAAATTTTGCTGTTCACATTACACAGCACATGTGCTTTCGTTACAAGGTCGCATTTTTCCTCTTATATTGAGGGCCTGCCGGTTTGGTGTGAGAGATCACTCATGCAGTGCCAGGCAACAGAATTCGGCTTGCAGACACCCATGGTAAGCCACAGTCTTTTGGCTTTTTTAACCTTCATAACATGTGGGAATGGTTTCAAACAGCAGCGCCCTCATTTCCCATACCAAGCACCCGTTGGGTTGGCCATTTAAAATGGGTTTGCAGTGTAAAAGGAGGGGCTGCGGTTTCCGGGTTAACATGCAGCACAAACCCAACTACCCCCCCACACAAACCCAATTCTCTGGGATGATCACTTCACCCGTCCCCCCTACCGCGTAGCTAACAGCGGGGAACATTTCTGTTCAGCCGAGCAGGAACGGGCACCTCGGAATGTCCCCTTAATAAAATCACCCCATTTCAACCAGGTGACCGTGAATGATATCACTCTCCTGAGGATAACAAAGAGAGATAAGGAATGGATGTTGTCTGCATGCCAGCAAACACCGGGACCATATGCTGCCATGCTTTGTTATGCAATGATTCCAGACTATGTGCTACTGGCCTGGCGTGGTAAAGTGTCCTACCATGGTGGATGGGATAAGGCAGCCCTCCCCAGAAACCTTTTGCAAAGGCTTTGGGAGTACATGAAGGAGAGCTTTCTGGAGATGTCCCTGGAGGATTTCCGCTCCGTCCCCATACATGTTAACAGACTTCCAGTAGCTGTACTGGCCGCGATTGCCAGGGCAAATTAATCATTAATCATTAAACACGCTTGCTTTTAAACCATGTGTAATATTTACAAAGGTACACTCACCAGAGGTCCCTTGTGTGCCCTCAGGGTCTGGGAGCACGCCTTGGGTGAGTTCGGGGGTTACTGGTTCCAGATCCAGGGTGATAAACATATCCTGGCTGTTTGGGAAACCGGTTTCTCTGCTTCCTTGCTGTGAGCTATCTTCATTGTCTTCATCATCATCATCTTCCTCGTCCCCCAAACCCGCTTCCGTGTTGCGTGATTCTCCATAGATGGAGTCAAAACACAGGGTTGGGGTAGTGGTGGCTGCACCCCCTACCATGGCATGCAGCTCCGCGTAGAAGCGGCATGTCTGCGGCTCTGCCCCGGACCTTCCGTTTGCCTCTCTGGCTTTGTGGTAGGCTTGCCTTAGCTCCTTAATTTTCACGCGGCACTGCTGTGCGTCCCTGTTATGGCCTCTGTCCTTCATGCCCTTTGAGACTTTTTCTAATGTTCTGGCATTTCGTTTACTGCTAAGGAGTTCAGCTAGCACTGATTCGTCTCCCCATATGGCGAGCAGATCCCGTACCTCCTGTTCGGTCCATGCTGGAGCTCTTTTGCGATCCTGGGACTCCATCATGGTTACCTGTGCTGATGAGCTCTGCGTGGTCACGTGTGCTCTCCACGCTGGGCAAACAGGAAATAAAATTCAAAAGTTCGCGGGGCTTTTCCTGTCTACCTGGTCAGTGCATCTGAGTTGAGAGTGCTGTCCAGAGTGGTCACAATGAAGCACTCTGGGATAGCTCCCGGAGGCCAATACCGTCGAATTCCGTCCACACTACCCCAAATCCGACCCGCAAAGGCTGATTTCAGCGCTAATCCCCTCATCGGAGGTGGAGTAAAGAAATCGGTTTAAAGGGCCCTTTAAGTTGAAAAAAAGGGCTTCGTCGTGTGGATGTGTCCAGGCTTAATTCGATTTAACGCTGCTAAATTCGACCTATACTCGTAGTGTAGATCAGGCCTCAATCTCTTTTCTTACCCCTAGAGATGGGCCCTTCAAGTCAGAGTTTAAACTCATCAGCTGTGTGTATGTGAGACGCCTGAACTGCTGCTGTAGTGCAGTAACTGCATTGTAGAATACCAAAGGGCTGGTCTACACTAACCCCCCAATTCGAACTAAGATATGCAACTTCAGCTACGTGAATAACGTAGCTGAAGTCGACGTACCTTAGTTCGAACTTACCGCAGTCCAGACACGGCAGGCAGGCTCCCCCGAAGACTCCACGTACTCCTCTCGCCGAGCAGGAGTACCGGAGTCGACGGCGAGCACTTCTGGGTTCGATTTATCGCGTCCAGACAAGACGCGATAAATCGAACCCAGAAGTTCGATTGCTTGCCGCCGAACCAGCGGGTAAGTATAGACGTACCCTAAGAGATGGTAGTCACCAGAACTATAATTACAGCAGCTTTTCCCAGCATAGATTCACTTAGAATGTTGAACGTTTAGCACTGCCACCCAGTAGCATGCACCTTTACCCTAACCTTACAGCAGCATTCAGGGGGCATAGAGATGTCTTTCATCCATTCTCTGATCTGCACAGAACTGCAGAACAGATCCTGTGTTCATAGTCCCGTGTTTCGCATCAGTAAGGGTGTCTTGGGAATTCATAATCCAACGCTAAGTGTGTATGTGTTTTGTTTAGAGTAGGGAAGGGAGCAAGGATGAATGACATTAGCAGGCACAATATCTGCTTATGTCTCTCCAAGTCCAGAAAATTATCATGATGTTTTTTTTGCATTTGGAACTAGGAAGGTTTTAAAAATGAGTAAAACATTTGCATCCCTTTCTGAATAGGGAAGATGGAACAAAGACTAAAAAAGAATGAAATATGGAAAGACAAAAGAGAACAAAGGTGGAGTTACAGCAAAAGGAATATAATTGTATGCCCCTGTATCCTGGAAATATAACACGTTATCACTCTCAATTTTTTACATGTGGAAATCCAGGGCAATATAGATGAAAGTCAGGAACTAAGGATCAAGATAGGCAATCAGCTGATACAGAATTTAGAGCCTGGTTTTCCAAAGTGCCATAGCTCTTAGAGCCTTCAGCTAGAATTATGATTATCAGCTGTTCTGAAAAGCAAGTCCTTAGAGTCTAAAGCAACAGAAATTAAAATTGTAATGACGTACTTTTCAGACACATCTTGTTCATTCGCCATACCCTGGCTAGTAGGGAATTGTATCCTTCAGTATACTGTCAACAAAGCGTCCACCTCTTTCTTTGGGAGAGGATTCAGTCGTCTGAAAGATCGCACCGTTAGAAAAATATGTTGATGCCCAGCTAAAATCTCACCCTGTTACTCCAAACTACCCTGAATAATTTATGCCTTGTATAGTGTGAGTAGGTTTGTCTCTCTATTCAGAATGCATTTTAAATCAGAATTCAGCTCTGCCTCTAACCTCCAGCATAACAATCTCTATATGGAAACCCCAGGCTGAGCAGGATATTGAAGAATGTTTCCGCCAAAATCCCTTTTCGCTGCAAGCAAAGCTGGTCTCTGGTTCCTGAATTGTTGCTTCTGTAATGGGACCTGATCACGCGCAGGGGGCGCAATGCACAACACAACCCACCCCACGTATATCCAGATTAGACCTGGCCGGTTTTTAAAAAGAGCAGCGCTGGCCCTTTAAGATGAGAGTCTCTCCTGGCTCCCCGCCCGGCCGGGCTCAGCTAAACCTCATTTCCGGGCGCGACGCACTTAGAGCGTTTTAGGTTTTTTCCCTCCGTGAAGCTTTCGGGCCGAGAGGATCGCTCCGCTCCGCACAGGGAAGGGCTCGGTTCGCCTACAGCGCAGCCATGGTGAGTGGCGCCCAGGCCGGAGTGGCCCATGTGGGCTGATGGCCGAGCACGTGGGGGGCGGCGGGCGGAACGCTGGGACACGCCGCGTTCTGCAAGCAGCGTGCGCAAGGAAGGGGATCGCCGGGCTGGCTACCGGGAGCCCTGCCTGGGCCGGGGCACGTGGAGCACAGGCGCCGCCACGTGGGAGGGGGAAGAGGCCGCTGGGGCGCCCGTATATCTGAACACCCGTCCATGAGTCCTACTGCCGCGCACAGGGCAGCTGAGCGGCCACAGCAACTGCGGTCATGTCCTGTGGCTTTTGTGTGGGCAACTGCTCGCCCTCCTCTGAGCGCTGTGTCCCGATTCCCGTTCAGTCACTTCGCTGCCTACGTGCTCCTCCGCTGGGTGGGGTGGGAGCTTGCGAAGACCAGCAGGATGATAGCTACCTCCGCATCTCTCGGTGTGGGGGAGTACAGGGCTGGGTGGGAGCACATGGAGGTTATGCTTTCCCCGTCCTCTGCCTTGTGATAAGGTATGAGAACAGTATAGGATGTTGCTGCTTATTTCACAGCATGAGTCTCTGTTTATTGAATGTTAATTGACCAAAATACAAAGGGGTAAGGTACAGCAAAAATTCTTGTAGCAATAACAATATTTAGTTCTTGTACTGCTTTTTGTCTGTAGATTTCAAACCACTTTGCAGAGGGAAACTGAGATCTAGAGGTTTCAGAGTAGTAGCCGTGTTAGTATCAGCAAAAAGAACGATGAGTACTTGTGGCACCTTAGAGACTAACAAATTTATAGAGGTGACATGACTTGCCAAAGCTCACCCAGCCATCCAGTGGCACGTGACCCAGGTCTCCCAAGTCCACTCTGTGTTCTAGCCACTAGATCATAGAATATCAGGGTTTGAAGGGACCTCAGGAGGTCATCTAGTCCAACCCCCTGCTCAAAGCAGGACCAATTCCCAACTAAATCATCCCAGCCAGGGCTTTGTCAAGCCTGACCTTAAAAACCTCTAAGGAAGGAGATTCCACCACTTCCCTATGTAACCCATTCCAGTGCTTCACCACCCTCCTAGTGAAAAAGTTTTTCCTAATATCCAACCTAAACCTCCCCCACTGCAACTTGAGACCATTACTCCTTGTTCTGTCATCTGGTACCACTGAGAACAGTCTAGATCCATCCTCTTTGAAACCCCCTTTCAGGTAGTTGAAAATGGCTATCAAATCCCCCCTCATTCTTCTCTTCTGCAGACTAAACAATCCCAGTTCCTTCAGCTTCTCTTCATAAGTCATGTGCTCTAGCCCCCTAATAATTTTTGTTGCCCTCTGCTGGACTCTTTCTAATTTTTCCACATCCTTCTTGTAGTGTGGGGCCCAAAATTGGACACAGTACTCCAGATGAAGCCTCACCAATGTCGAATAGAGGGGAATGAGCACGTCCCTCGATCTGCTGGCAATGCCCCTACTTATACAGCCCAAAATGCCGTTAGCCTTCTTGGCAACAAGGGCACACTGTTGAATCATATCCAGCTTCTTGTCCACTGTAACCCCTAGGTCCTTTTCTGCAGAACTGCTGCCTAGCCATTCGGTCTCTAGTCTGTAGCAGTGCACTTAGGACGAAAGAATCCTATGCAGGACTCTGCACTTGTCCTTGTTGAACCTCATCAGGTTTCTTTTGGCCCAATCCTCTAATTTGTCTAGGTCCCTCTGTATCCTATCCCTACCCTCCAGAGTATCTACCACTCCTCCCAGTTTAGTGTCATCTGCAAACTTGCTGAGAGTGCAATCTGCGCCATCCTCCAGAACATTAATGAAGATATTGAACAAAACCGGACCCAGGACCGACCCTTGGGGCACTCCGCTTGATACCGGCTGCCAACTAGACATGGAGCCATTGATCACTACCCGTTGAGCCCGATGAACTAGCCAGGTTTCTATCCACCTTGTAGTACATTCATCCAGCCCATACTACTTTAACTTGCTGGCAAGAATACTGTGGGAGACCGTATCAAAAGCTTTGCTAAAGTCAAGGAATAACACATCCACTGCTTTCCCCTCATCCACAGACCCAGTTATCTCCTCATAGAAGGCAATTAGGTTAGTCAGGCATGACTTGCCCTTGGTGAATCCATGCTGACTGTTCCTGATCACTATCCTCTCCTCTAAGTGCTTCAGAATTGATTCCTTGAGGACCTGCTCCATGATTTTTCCAGGGACTGAGGTGAGGCTGACTGGCCTGTAGGTCCCCAGATCCTCCTCCTTCCCTTTTTTTAAAGATGAGGGCACTACATTAGCCTTTTTCCAGTCATCTGGGACCGCCCCCAATCGCCATGAGTTTTCAAAAATAATGGCTAATGGCTCTGCAATCTCATCCGCCAACTCCTTTAGCACCCTCGGATGCAGCGCATCCAGCCCCATGGATTTGTGCTCATCCAGCTTTTCTAAATAGTCCCAAACCGCTTCTTTCTCCACAGAGGGCTGGTCACCTCCTCCCCCTGCTGTGCTTCCCAGTGCAGTAGTCTGGGAGCTGACCTTGTTTGTGAAGACAGAGGCAAAAAAAGCATTGAGTACATTAGCTTTTTCCACATCCTCTGTCACTAGGTTGCCTCCCTCATTCAGTAAGGGGCCCACACTTTCCTTGACTTCTTTCTTGTTGCTAACATACCTGAAAAAACCCTTCTTGTTACTCTTAACATCTCTTGCTAGCTGCAACTCCAAGTGTGATTTGACTTCCTGATTTCACTCCTGCATGCCTGAGCAATATTTTTATACTCCTCCCTGGTCATTTGTCCAATCTTCCACGTCTTGTAAGCTTTTTTTTTTTTTGCGTTTAAGATCAGCAAGGATTTCACTGTTATGGCAGGTGACCAGCTTGGCTTATTTACTATTCTTTCTACGCATCAGGATGGTTTGTTCCTGCAACCTCAATAAGGATTCTTTAAAATACAGCCACCTCTCCTGGACTCCTTTGCCCCTAATGTTATTCTCCCAGGGGATCCTGCCCATCAGTTCCCTGAGGGAGTCAAAGTCTGCTTTTCCAAAGTCCAGGGTCCGTATACTGCTGCTCTCCTTTCTTCCTTGTGTCAGGATCCTGAACTCGACCATCTCATGGCCACTGCCTCCCAGGTTCCCATCCACTTTTGCTTCCCCTACTAATCCTTCCTGGTTTGTGAGCAGCAGGTCAAGAAGAGCTCTGCCCCTAGTTGGTTCCTCCAGCACTTGCACCAGGAAATTGTCCCCTACACTTTCCAAAAACTTCCTGGATTGTCTGTGCACCGCTGTATTGCTCTCCCAGCAGGATCACACTGTCTCCTTTTAGGAGGTATCCTGTTGTGCCCTTCTAAGGCATAAGAACATCTCAAACTGAAGAAGCAGAGCTGTCTCTGTCTAGACAAACCTGTGCCCTCTCCTTTCAGTTCCACAATCACCTGTCTGAATATTTACTATGTGTCTGGCTACCTATATAGTAGAGCTGACCCTGAGCAGAAGCATTTCCCTGTTACAGAAGGGCCTCAAAAATTCTGTCACTTGTTTGTGCAGCTCTAGAACAGTTTAACTGTTAACATAAGGTTTTAGAAAAGCCTTCATTAAAACAGAAAAGAATTCTAACTCTTCCCCTATTGATGCTGTTCATTTGTTTTCACTTATCATGGACACAAACTAGCCTGGTTGATTTTTACTTCCTGCTTGTTAGGCGCTAGCACAAAACTGTTCCAACACTTGGGGGGAGAGAAGTGTTAAGTAGAAGATTTCCTTTTGAATTGTTCTCAGAAAATTCCATTCTTAATTCTTAAAACATGCCTTTTCAAAAATAAACCTGGTGCCTGACTCTCTTTACAGAATTATTCTTATAAATTCAGATCTAAAAATGTGCAATTGCTGTCCCTATGTTGGCAGATAAACATTTTATATTAACGTAGCACCTGAAATTGCAAAGGGCTCATTGTTGAACAATGTCTGGGCTGGAATTGGCATGGTATATGTGAAACAAAAGCATGTGGAGGGGAACTTTGGTTTAGGACTGAGAAACCTGTGTGTGTATGTAACTTTGGGATGCCATGCAATCTTTAGTGTCCATGCAGAGCAGACGGGACCTCAGTGTTTCCTGTCTCATCTGTGGATAGATTTTGTGTAGGTGTTTTAGAAGAGTCAGGGACTGAGTTGATCCTGGCAGGATGTGAAGCTGTGGTTCTAGGGAGTTTGGATGTGTTAAACTCAGTACCTGCCTGTGAATGTTCCAAGTGAAGCTTTTCTCTGCTTCTTATAATTCTTGCCTTTTTCTAGACTGAGGCAGAAGTGAACCCCAAAGCTTACCCACTGGCTGATGCACAACTCACCAAAACTCTGCTGGACCTTGTACAGCAGTCCTGCAACTACAAACAGCTACGCAAGGGTGCCAATGAAGGTGAGGTCTGTTTGTTATAAAACATGCTGTGTTTGCCGAAAGTAAAGAAAGGGTTTAATAGATTCTGAGGCCCGAAGGGATCACTGTGGTGATCTAAGTCTGACCTCTGAGGCGAGAGAACTTCCCCCAGATAATTCCTAGAGCATATAGTTTACCACACTAGATGTTACAGATGATGGTTGTCTTCCCCTGTCTCCAGCTTTGGAATTAGGATGTTTGGTAATTCACCCTTCCAAATCCACATTGTTTATTTTATACAGTTTCTAGCTTGTGCAAATGTTTGGAGTTTCTTTTCTTTTCCCTTACAGAATATTCTAGCAGGAACAAAACTAACCTCTTCAGCAAAACTGTGCAGCTCTCACCTGCCTCTCTGTTAACTGCACAAAATAGGGTTGTTGGTATAACTGTTCCTGTGTGGTTTTGGGGACAGGTAGCAGGGGAGAGTGTTTTAGAAGATGGCTGGCTGGTGGTGAGACTAATTTGTCAGGATTACATCCTTAATATTTGTCTGTAGTGCCCATTGCTGTGCTGCATAAGAACTGATAGTGTTTAGGGCAGTGGTCCCCAAACTGGGGGGTGTGGAGGAATGTCCGAGGGGGTGGGGGGGCCCAGTCCAGCCCTGGCTCCCCTCCTGGGCATTGGCTGCAGCCCTGCTCCTTTCCACAGCTCAGCCACCTGCCCCCACTCTGTCCTCGGCCCAGCTGTGACTTCGCTGCTAGCCCAGGGGGCTGCAGACATATTCCATTACTGGTAAGGCAGTGCATGAGGGGGAAAGTTTGGGCACTACTGGCTTTGGGCAAGGATACAGACAAACCAGACTCCTATGTCCTAATTACAAAAAATAGAATGAAAAAAGTTGTTGGATCAGTTTTATCTATACAATCGCATATATCACCTTCCTTCACTCCCTCCCTGTCAAACAATACAGGTTTGATTCATAGAATATGTTCCCAACAGCCTTGTCCAATCTGTATGTTTTTATGATACCAAATCCACCACTTTCCTCAGGAGACTTTTCACAAGCTCTTTGGGGCAGGACTATCTCTGTTCTGGTTGTACAACACCCAGCTCAGTGGGGTCCTGGTCCTTGACTAGGGCTCCTAGTAGCATTACTATGGCATCTACCTATAATAGATTCACTAAATAGATTTCTGTGTTTCCTAACGTTCTCTTGTGTTAATATGCTCCACACCAAGACCTCCACCTAATCCTCTTCCCTCTCTCTCTCCAGCCACTAAAACACTGAACAGAGGAATAGCAGAATTCATTGTGATGGCTGCAGATGCTGAGCCCCTGGAGATCATCCTGCACCTCCCTCTCTTGTGCGAGGACAAGAATGTGCCCTATGTCTTTGTGCGCTCCAAGCAGGCCCTGGGCCGGGCATGTGGTGTCTCCCGGCCTGTCATTGCCTGCTCAATTACCATCAAGGAAGGGTCACAACTGAAGCCTCAGATTCAATCGGTCCAGCAAGCTATAGAGAGACTGTTGGTCTAAATCTGCCTAAAACCCAATAGCTGAAATCCATAATTTAAAAAATAATAAATCAAGAGTTGGGGAGGGAATTAATGATAGTTAAACTAGACAATACAATAGTTTGATACCAAACCCTTGTTTCAAAATGCCAGGTGTTTGTTTTACAGTGGCTTGCTCCTATTATATATTTCAACTCTCCACTGTGGGTCAATCTAGATTTTCTCCCTCTCTCCCTTGCCGGCCTTTCAGAAGACATTCTTGCAGTACTAGTTCTCAAAACTCTGTTGCTCAACAGAGTGAGTAGCAGCTCCTCCTGTGTGATAGGCAAAAATAACATATTGCCCCATTTTAGGGCATGATTAACCTATACTCTTTTTTTTTTTTTTTCTCCCCCAATAATGGATTAGCTTCCTTCGTTTTGCAGCAAATTCTTCTATGATAAGTTTGATCTGTAACAGACATGAATAATTTAATGTATGTGTTCTAGACGGTTTGATCCAATGAGGAAAATTAAGGTGGATCTGCAGTGTAATGGTGTATATTCAACAATTGCTGCTTTAAGGGAGAGGCAAGTAATAGAGGAGGGGGGGAAATAAAGACAGTGGCAGCTATGTAGTGTAGGATACAGGCCAAGTTCAGTTTCACCATATCTGCTGACTTGGTCAAGAGGCCACTGTATGAGAGGTGTAGAGGGAGGAGAAATCCTACTACAGTGCTATGGGTGATAGTTCTAACCTTGCTTGGTGTGTTTTTTTTTTTTTTTTTAAACTGGTATTTTTTTAAATAAATCCATATATTCCCAGATTTGTCAACTCATGTACATGACTTCTCTCAGCCTGTCTTGGATAGGAATGTGCTGCTAACAGCCTTTTACAATTAAAAATGAATTAGAGACACCCCTGCCCCCCAGGGCTAATGCTGTGCATTCTAATGCAGCATATTAGAGCTGCCCCCTATCATTTTGTTTAGTAGTGGTGCGTCTGTCTGCAGCATTGCTGTGAGCTACAAAAAGCTGGTTCCAAGGGTATTTAACACCCCCCCCCCTCCCCCCCCCCAAAAAAAAAAACCCACCAAAGCAAAACTGCACACACCAGGGAAGCAAATAAGCTTGCTACTTCCTGGTAGGAAGAAGCTTATCAAGGCCCACATGTGGTGAAGGAGAAATAAGGACAGCAAGGAACAGTGTAAGTATTCACAGACTCTTCCCAAAGGTGTATTGTTACTGTCAGTAAAGGCCTAGCTTTAGAACTGAACACGAAAACAGAAAAAGTCTATTTATTCTTTTCACTTTAAAGGTGAAATGAGGCTTGTGTAATAGATATCAGAGGGGTAGCCGTGTTAGTCTGAATCTGTAAAAAGCAACAGAGGGTCCTGTGGCACCTTTAAGACTAACAGAAGTATTGGAGCATAAGCTTTCGTGGGTGAATGCCCACTTCATCAGATGCAAGACTGATGAATAGAGACACCCTTGAACTTCTCCGTGGCCTTTCCTCACTGGAATGCTGTTTCTTAGGTCCAAGAGCTAGTGTGGCCAATTTGCCTACCACCTACACCAGCTTTTTTTTTTTAATTTTGTTTTTTAACTGTAAATCTTCTATTTTGTCCAAGAGTTAAGATAGGTGCCACCCCTACAACGCTGTATTAACTGCAGTCCTGGAACTGGCATTACCACTGGTGGGGGATGGTGCCATAAGTAGGCATGAACAAATTTTCCATTGGCTGGGCTGGGTTCTGCAGACTTGAATTCTAATGCTAATCTAGATGCACTCTGGTTGTGTTAACTGTTAGGTGTAGCTGTACTGAATGGTGGGATCAGTTGGAGCCAGGTAGGAAGGGCTCTTGCTGTGATACAGAGATGCACATGTATGTTGAGGGATAAGTATACTCTATTTCAGCATTGAGTTCTGGAGGCTATATCAGAGGTATACCAGGCTGTCTTCTAGTCTACATAGGTTTTTATACCACACTCATTAGTATCTCTTGGCGCCTTCTAATAGTGTATTAAGTAACATGACTACACTGTTATGTTCTCCCATCCTCTTCCCCACAAGGGGAAGCATAGGCAGTGGAGTGTCTTTGGTAAGGTGGGTGTTTTGTTTATAGTGAAGAAAGCAAGGTCAAAGAAATGCCTTACATTTGGAACAGAAAGTGGTGGCTTGTGATGGTTCCTGGAGAGTGTTGGTTCCATAGTCTCCAACTGCCTCTGGAACAAGTTCTGTCTCAACAATAAGAGGAAAGCTAATCTGTAGTGTAAAGTTCCACTGTGTGAGAGGAGCAAAGCAGTCAATCACACTTTGTCCTGGAACTTTAGATAGTCTTTATCTTCAAAGTACTCAAGGGCCCAGGCCCAGGAGACTAAGACCTTGATTCAGTATTCTGTAGGAAGCTAGTGTAGAGCAGAGGACAGGTGTGTGCTCACAGTTGCATGTATTGCTGAGATGTGCCACAGTGTTTTGTGCTAGTTGGAGTTTCCCTAAGTGCTGCAGGTATCATGCCTAGGTATATCTCATTGCTGTAGTTCAACTGAGAGGTGACAAAGGCATGAATACCTAAGTTCAGGTCTTTGATGGTAGAAAGCATTAGTCATGGCCCTTATGATGGGAGAGCCCAGTGTCAGTAAGGAATCCAAGAGTAGTCCTGTAGAGTAAGCTATGCTGACCAGGTGTTTTTCTTGCAGTGTAGGAACACTACTACTCCTCCTCCTCCCTCCCCCCCCCATCAAGCATTCTCCCATCAACATTGCTGCATTTACACTGTTAGGCTGGCATAGTAAGGTAGGTCAGGTGTGGATTTTCACATCCTGACCACCTTAGCTATGTTGACCAGGCCTCAGAGAGCAAATGTCCTTTTTGATGACAACCTCACTGTAGATGTGGCAGTATTGATACCTACAGTTAATCAGGGAGGTGTTGCTATACTACTGGGGGGAAAAGCCCTTCTGTGGCTGTAGGAAATGTCTACACTACAATGGCATAGCTATGATGCCACAGCTGTGCCACTGTAGCTCCTATAGCAGGGATGGGCAAACTACGGCCTGGGGGCTGCATCCGGCCCTCTAGACGTTTTTAATCCAGCCTTCGAGCTCCCTCTGAGGAGCGGGGTCTGGGGCTTGCCCCACTCCGCATGGCTCCCAGAAGCAGTGGCATGTCCCCACCTCTGGCTGCTATGCATAGGGGCAGCCAGGGGGCTCCACATGCTGCTCTGGAACCACAACCAATGGGAGCTGCAGGGGCAGTGCCTGCAGATGGGGCAGCGCACAGAGCTGCCTGGCTGCGCCACCATGTAGGACCTGGAGGGGGGCCATGCCGCTGCTTCTGGGAGCTGCTTGAGGTAAGTGCCGCCCAGAGCCTGCACCCCTGACCCCCTCCTGTGCCCCAACCCTGATTTCCTCCCCCCCACCCCCCCCCGCCGCCCTCCAAACCCCTTGGTCCCAGCCTGGAGCACCCTCCTGCACTCTGAACCTCTCATCCCCATCCCCACCCCAGAGCCCACACCCCCTCCTGCACCCCAACCCCCAATTTTGTGAGCATTCATGGCCCGCCATACAATTTCCATACCCAGATGTGGCCCTCAGACCAAAAAGTTTGCCCACCCCGTCCTATAGTATAGACATAACTCAATTTAAGGGATTGTAAAAAAGATTTTTTTGACAACCCAGCTCATCAAATGAGATTTTCAGAAACAGGGTTTGAATGATCCCTTACACCACTAAAGGTCAGCAGGTGCGGAGTACTGTCACCACAACAGCATAAAGGGGCAGAGTCCCTTCCCTGTTCCATAATTATAAAAATTAAACATCCGAGCAGTTCATGTGAGGGGAGCTGTGTATCAGAACACCTTGACACTGATGTGCTTTCACACAGTCCTACTTACTGGAGCCTTTCATGTTCTATTTGATTAATGCTTATTTTCTTAATACTTCTAAAGTAAAAGTGGAGTCTGCATGTGGATTTTAGAGCACTTCAAAATCTCTCTCAAACTGGACATTTGGGGCTCTGGACAAAATTATCCAAAAGAGCCACATAAGGAACACCAGTCTCTGAAAACTGCCCAGAGTAAGGCTCAAACTTACACTGGGGGGTGGTCAGATTCACTGACCACAGCATGTCATCTTGAGTCACCCAGTTACTGTGGCAAGAGATTGCATGCAAGCCCTGTGGCTGTTAGCAAAGTCCTACTCTAGCTGCATGCATGTTTCATTTGCTTTGGTTCAAGCTGATGCTGCACCAACCTGGAATTGTAAGCTTGCCATAGGTGAGATTCATCTCAGCTGTTTGGGATTTACCTGAGCCCCAGCTGTACACAAGAACACATTAAATGCCATTGGCTGATATTTAGGGAGACGGGATCTGAGGCTCAGATGATCCCAAATTTGGACCACTACCCCTATCCCGGACCACTACAAGGCAATCTGCATTACCAGGGGGCTTTTAGAGCCCTTTGAATAGTTATCTTTTAAACAGTAAACCTCTCAACCTTAACTACAGTAGAGCTGTTATTTCCTTATAAGGGAGTTTATCTCAACTATGATAGCTGAATGTATTCAAAGCCACCACTATGTAAAGGGCCTAGATACTTCACAGCATGCCAAGACAGTTGTCTCCTTTAACACTGTACAAGAGCACCAGGCATAAAGGATTCTTGAGTGAAGGGAGAGTTTGCTTGTTAAAGTGAGCAGAGGCAATTAAACTAACCCAATTTTCATTATTTGAGGTGCAGGATGGGGTCAGGGTGCAGGCGCTGGGTGGCACTTACCTCAAGCAGCTCCCAATAGTAGGGGAATGTCCCCCCTCCGGCTCCTATACAGAGGTGTGGCCAGGCGGCTCTGCAGGCTGCCCTATCTGCATCGCCCCTGCAGCTCCTATTGGTCACAGTTAACAGCCAATGGGAGCTGCGGCAATGGCACTTGGGACCAGGGCAGTATGTGTAGCCCCCTGGCTGCCCCTACACATAGGTGCCAGAGGGGGGACATGACACTGCTTCTGGGAGCTGTGTGGAGTAGGGCAAGCCCCAGACCCTGCTCCCCAGCAGGAGCTCAAGGGCCAGATGTGGCCCCCAGACCATAGTTTGCCCACTCCTTTACTAGAGAGTACACCAGAAAACCCTTTGAGATATGTGCATATTAATTACAAAGTAAGGATGTGATAGCATCAGAATCCCTTTCCAGAACTGTAGACTGCTAACCTTCTAGTCAGGGCTCACTAGGAAAAGGGTCCAGAGCAATTCCCCCCCGACATCACTATTATGTGGTATGGAGGCCCATGCTACACCATAAAACATCACTCGCTTTTGCCTACAACAGCTTAGCCCTGCTTCTGAGCCAAGCTCATGCACCTGTTATACATAGAGAAAGGGGTAGACCACAGGATGAAAACAAGGATGAAAGTGTAGTTACACTTCAGTTAGCAACACTGTCTTCTAGATTAGAACAAGACCTGCTTCTTTAACTACATAGAAAGGATGTGTTCACTAGTCTGACACTTTCTAGTGCTGGCAGTTTAAACATATTTACATGTCATATGTCCCACTTTGATACAAAAATCATTGGAAGTAATGAAGAGGAACCACCACAACATGCCCTTTTTCAAGTTATTGCTCACAGCTCTCTGCTTTCAGGCATCTGACTCGCCCTCCTTTGAGAGTGGAAAAGCAGTGTCTGGGTTAAAGCCTAATGCAGTGTTTTTCAATCTGTGGGTCATGACCCCAGCATGTAAGGCGCTGGGTTGCCTTGCTCTGGTCAGCACTGCTGACCAGGACATTAAAAGTCCTGTTCTCGCTGCTGCCCAGCTCAGGCAGGCTAGTGC